AGGAGTGAGCGGAGGCTGTGCTAAACCCGAAGGGATTGTACCAGCACTCGACTGTGCTGGGGCAATATTCTGAAAGCCAGCAAGGGGAGGTGCCAAGCCACTCCTCTTCATTGCTGGCCTTGACAATAGAGAAGTTGCAGGGGGATGACCAGCAGTTATTAAGGGACCATAAAAAGGAGGGTGTGCAGGTGATAGTGCAACTGGCGCAGCACGTGGTAAGAAATGTTTTTGCCAGTGTCTATGGGACACTGGCAAATCGGCTGGCAGGGGAAGATTTGGCATATCAGGTGCTGCCCATGGTGCACCCATGGGAGATATAGATGGTGCTGCATCGATGATAGATATCACATAACAAAACAAAAGCAAGTATTTCATCGACAACCATCGGACCTTCTTCAATATTCCTGCATTGTTGATTCAAAATTAGCGTTCAATTCACCCATAAAAAACTACTCACACTCACAGAAGCTCTCATGATAAGAAAAGCTCTAAACTTGTTACCTAATTTCCAGCTAGATTGGCTCCAGAACAAACACATTAAAACAGCCATAATCTGACATCTAATGCAAGTTTTACAAAGAATGGTTCACATGGTTGCAGGGACCCAAGAAAACAAAAACATCACTCACTTTGTGAGCCCTAATCGAATGTCTTCATAAAGGGACAAAACACATAATTATTATTTCTCCTCTTTTTCCGTACTTTTTTCTTCATCCAAACAAAGGGTTACTATGCAACCGGAGCACCTCGCTGCCACTCAATTCATAACCAGAAAAACGCAAAATAGCTCCTTTAATTAATAAGCTTACTCACTAAAAAAAGTTGTTGGAATTATGGATAGAAAAATCAGCAAAAAATAAAAAAGTATAAGCTTTAAATCGATTACACAACTAAGTCCTCACTTTAAGAACAATGAACAACGAAATTAGAATTAGAGGTGGGGATGGGAGCGAACCTGTGAGCTCAGACATCATCGACGCCGTCGATTACTGGGTAACGCTTCAGATCTGAAATAAACAGCGAGATCACGACCGTCAATTAGCGCAGACTTGAACAGGAAGCAACAACTATGAGCTGAGACCGCTGCTAACAGAGCTCAAACGAGGATCAACGGCGGAGACATGGTCGTGAAAATCCGAGCTCGGAATAGTGAACTCACAGTCGAAATCACCATGGCCGAGTTCAATCGTTGGAACGGAGTGAGCTGAATTCATAAGTTGGGTCCCGTTTTCCGAGAGAAAAAGAGAGAGAGAGAGAAGTTTGTGACTGTTGGTGGAGGTATCGTTGAGTTCACTCTGTTATCAGTGCTTTTTGCTTTTTATTTTTTATTTTTTTAATCGTTTGGTTTGTGGGGAGGCGCACAGGCTCTTTTTCTTTGCTAACGTGCGCGGTTAACGGACATAACAACAGACAAATTAACGGTAAAAAAAGGGACTTTTGGCTTGTCTCCTCCTAGCAGGAAGCGGGTTACAATATTGTATGGTAGCAGAGCACGGCTATGAATGGTGTTTCTTTCTGTGTTGTGTGTATATATTTAAGAGACCTTGAGATTAAAGCTCTATTATACTAACAGAGCGATTAAGGAGCCTCCTCATCTCACAATTCGAGTATTTTCCAACCCCAATTTAAGTGGTCAAACTCTTTGACTAATGGAGCGATTCAATGACTGTTTTCAAGTATGCTTGGACGAAGATGTACATCATCAACGTCTCCATAAACAAGTGTACTTGGAAACAGTCACTAAAGTGGTTGAGAAGGGATTTAGGAGGATGCTTTAAACACTTGAAATGCAAACATTTGGTGGTGAGACATCGATTACAAGCAAATAATATTACGAGTCAATACCAATTAGATATTGAGGCCAACTCGTATGATCAAGTACTTCAAGATGCTGCTCTTGTGGCTGGTAATGTATGGCCACCACCATGGGTATACTTGTCGCAGGTTGCAACTCCGGAGGATGATGCATATTTGGAACTACTTAATATTGATGCTAAATCATATGTTGTAATTGTCATATATGTAAATTGGCATTCCCTAGCCTAAGCTTAGGGCCCGTTCGGTAACGTTTTCGGAGAATGTTTTCTTAGAATATTTTCAGAGAATGAAAACAAGAAAACGAATTTGCATTTTCAAGAAATGAAAATGCGTTTGGTAAATTAATTAGAAAACATCTTCAGAAAACAAAAACAATGAAAATGTGTATGGTAGTACAATTTGAAATAATAAATGTAAGTTATTTTTATGAAAACGTTTCCCATGAGAATGAAAACAACTTTTTTCTGTTTTCTACAAGTACACATGAACTTGTTTTCATTTTATGAAAACATTCTCAGTGTTTTCTGTTTTTGGGCCACCAAACGTGTTTTTGCCTTATTTTTGTTTTTTGAAAATGAAAACAACCCCTTAAAACGTTACCGAACGAGCCCTTATTTTCTATGTAAGCACTAGAATGTTTTAGATTTAGTCAGGAGTGAGGTTATGAAGTTGGCAAAACAAGAGAAATGCAAATGGAAGATTGAAGTTGCCCATATTCAACCGTTCATCATCAAACAAGGCTTCATATGAATTTAGGTGAGGTAAGTTAGACTTAGATACCATTTATGCATTTCTAGGTGGTTAGTATCATTTAGAATAAGCATAAAATGTTTTTACATTGCATTCATGCATTCACAAGTGTTTTGGTTTTGACGAAATCAGGTTTACATTACATTTATGTTGATTTTTGTTCTCTGCCGCTCGAGCGTGTAAATTTTCTGTCTCTCATACTTGAGCAAAAACATGGGACTTCAATTTTCATGTTTTTATTTTCACGTGTTTCTTCTAGGAATCTTTGTCCTAATTATATTGGGTCTTTTTACATCTTCTGTTATTATTTGAAAGGATTTTAAATTTTAATGTTTTATTTTCTGTTTTAATTTTGGTTGTTTTCTTTTATTTATTATGGGAGTTACAAATTGCTTAATTTTCAGTTTTTATTTTCTATTCATTGCACCAACTTTTCTGGTTAAATGTGTATGGAGGTTACGAGTTTTGGATGCCTATAAAAGGCCACTCCTCCTTCACATTTCAATACACCACAATCAGATTTCTCTATTCTCATACTTTCATATATTCCCTACTTTCTATATTATTTTTGGGCAACGGTTCTGTGGCTTGGAAATCTCTATCCGACTGTGAACGTGCTCATAGCGGACCTTAAGCCTGCGTATTGGGGTCGTATCTTGGAGTCTTGTAGACCGTCATTACCTGCACGTAGGGAGGCTACAAAGGCTTTAGGACAGCGCCTTTGTCTTCCTAGTCTTAACCTAAACAAGTTTTAAGTAATATAAATACCTTGTTTTAGTAGACATAGAATTAACAACTCACATATTCTAAAATTGGCCTTGTGCATAAAACCCTTGTTTTGATTGAGTTAATTTTTATGAACTCTTGAGATTTTCCATATCTTTTCGAGAGTTCACTGAGCATAACATCGTTAGATTGATTAGATTGTTCCTTGTGAATATAATCAACATAGCACCCATATCATATTATTCTCTTTATTGGAGTGTTCGTGTCTTGGTGGTGATTGACAATCGTGGAGGTTCGTGCCGCTATCAAAGTAGTAGCAAGAGTGTGAGTTGGTTGCCAGGGTGAATAGGCTTTTATCAATTTTAAGTTCAATTTTATATGCTTTAGTTAATCTCACTGGTTATGGACGACCAAAAGAGGAGGCCCCTCCAGTTGTTATAAATATGAGTTTTGATAATGAGCAGTGGCGGACCTATTAAGGCGCAATAAGGTGCTTTCATTTATTCTTATATTACTCCATTTACTTAAGTTTACAATGTAAATAAGGAAGTACCCCCATTTGGATTCAAATAAAAATACTAGAAAATCAAATAACCAAAAAATCAAAATATGAAAAATCGGTTTTAGTGCAAAATACGATTTATGCTAAAAATGATGGCTCATTAAGTAAATATATACTTCATACTAAAATCCCATAAAATTAGGTTTTCTTATTTGATGTGTAAGGAATAAAAGCCGCCAAAAATTATCTTGAGAAAATGATTATTCCGAAAAATCATTTTTCATACTTAGTCAATATTGCACCTCCGCTAAAAAAATTATGGGTCCGCCAGTGATAATGAGGATGATCATCCTGAACATGTGTTGCCTCCTATACCTGTTGTAAAAACACCTCTGCATTTAGTTTGCTTTTTATAAACTAATTGTTGTAATGACTAATTAGAGATTGTTGATAGCCCAAAATTGGACATAACTTAGGGTGATATGTATTTGATGGATGATATGTGAATCGGCAACGCTCTTTAGCAGGTGTGTGTAAGCATGCAAAAAACATAGATGTAAGTAGTTCACTTGAATGTGCTACGTTCAAATAGAAATGCTCTCACTATAATAATAGTTGTTTACATTGTACAAGAGGTTGGTCCTAAAAATAAGGGGAAGAAGAGAGAGGATCATTTTAAAGTGAAGAGTGACTTCCTTTTATAGGTGAGGGAGTGCCCTTACTTCTTACAATATGTCGATGTGGAACTACGTACATTGTCTCTAGTAGACTACAACTGAAAAATGGAAACAAATTCGGAGGACTACCACTGAAATAAGGTAATGATTTCGGTGGGATTTACATAGTAAGTTAAGCAATGGGGTTCATGAGGGCAATTTAGAAAGAAAAATGGGGTGTAGTGAGTAATTTAAAATTTTACTAAAATTCAGTGGGGTGTAAAGAGAATGTGGGGTGCAAACAGCAAATTTTGGGGTGCCAATAAAATCACCATTTCAAATAAAATAACACTTACACCATTGAATGATAACCATTGCAATAATTTTACAAATTGGTGTAATTGTTATTTTATTTGAAAAAAAAATTAATGGATAATTTTACCTAAAGAAATTGGGCCTGGCCCAGGCTAAGAAAAGAAAGCCCAATAACGTAACGAATCCCAAAAGAAAAGATATCCGATACAAAAATGTCGATCAGGACCCAATGAGCACCCGACCCGGAACCATCTAGCCCGATCCCAAATCTTAGTTGATAGTCGGCGACCGTTGGCCCCCTCCGGCTTACTTCTCGTTAAACCCGCTCTTCCTATCTCGTCAGAGCTGAAACCCCCAACCAATTCCAAACCCTAGACCTAGGGTTTATCCTTTACAAGCTCTCTCTCTCACACACACATACCAATTTAGGGTTTTCTTCACTGCAACAAAACCTTACAAATTTTCAAAGATGTCGAAGAGAAAATTCGGATTCGAAGGCTTTGGCATAAACAAGCAATCGACTTTCAACTTCGAGCGGTCCCAGCAAGCGCCTCAGCGACTCTACGTGCCTCCTTCGTCGCGCGGACAAAGCCACGATAACTACGAAGACACCGACCTTGACAACATTGATTACGACGATAACGATGGTTCCAAGGACCCTGGCAATAACAACAATCACGACGAAGGTGGTGGTGGCGGCGAAAATGATGAAATTGACCCTCTTGACGCTTTCATGGAGAGCATTCACGAGGAGGTAAGGTCGGCGCCGCCGCCGAAGCCGAAAGAGAAGGCTGAGAAGTACAAGGACGATGAGGAGGATGATCCTATGGAGAGTTTTTTGAGGGCCAAGAAGGACGTGACTCTGACGCTGGCCTCCGATGCGTTACACGCTGGATACGACTCCGACGAGGAGGTCTATGCGGCTGCGAAGGCGGTCGATGCGGGGATGTTGGAGTACGATTCGGATGATAATCCCATTGTTCTGGACAAGAGGAAAATTGAGCCGATTGCCGCTCTCGATCATAGTTCGATCGACTACGAGCCCTTTAATAAGGATTTTTACGAGGAGAAAGAGTCAATTTCAGGTAAATTCCAATCAAGCGACTGAGAAGTTTGTTTCTTTTTTAATATTTCAATTAGTTGGTCTGAATTTAGTAGAAATGTACTTAAAATATTTTAAATTTGAATGACAATGAAAATATTTGATTGGTAGAAGTTCTTAAGTAGAAATTTGAATTGGAAGGATGGTTTATGGGCAGATTTTCCATAATGAAGACTTATTAACTCATGTTTTGTTTTCCTTATTTAGGGATGAGCGAGGAGGATGTTGCTGAGTACAAGAAGAGCTTGGCCATCCGTGCGTCGGGTTTTGATGTACCCAGACCACTTAAGACATTTGAAGAGTGTGGATTTTCTTCACAGCTCATGAGTGCAATAAAGAAACAAGATTATGAAAAGCCTACACCTATACAGTGCCAAGCTCTACCCATAGTTCTTTCTGGGAGAGATATCATCGGTATTGCAAAAACTGGTTCTGGAAAGACTGCCGCCTTTGTCCTTCCTATGATAGTCCACATTATGGATCAGCCGGAACTTCAGAAAGAAGAGGGTCCTATTGGAGTGATATGTGCACCTACTAGAGAACTGGCGCACCAAATATACTTAGAGGCCAAGAAATTTGCCAAATCACATGGGATACGTGTCTCTGCTGTATACGGTGGAATGTCTAAGCTTGATCAATTTAAAGAACTTAAGGCAGGATGTGAGATAGTTGTTGCTACTCCTGGGAGATTGATAGACATGCTTAAAATGAAGGCACTGACGATGCTAAGAGCAACTTACCTAGTACTTGATGAGGCTGATCGGATGTTTGACCTTGGGTTTGAGCCTCAAATTAGGTCTATTGTTGGTCAGATTCGGCCAGACCGACAGACATTGCTCTTTTCTGCGACAATGCCCCGTAAAGTTGAAAAGTTGGCCAGGGAGATTCTCTCTGATCCAATAAGAGTTACAGTGGGTGAGGTGGGAATGGCCAATGAGGATATCACTCAGGTTGTTCATGTAATTCCTTCTGATGCTGAGAAGTTGCCCTGGCTTCTTGAGAAGTTACCTGGAATGATCGATGAGGGTGATGTTTTAGTATTTGCTTCAAAAAAAGCTGCAGTGGATGAGATCGAATCACAGCTTTCCCAGAAAGGTTTTAAAGTCACAGCTCTGCATGGTGACAAGGACCAGGCATCTCGGATGGATATTTTGCAAAAATTTAAATCTGGCATTTACCATGTTCTTATTGCAACTGATGTTGCTGCTCGTGGTCTTGACATCAAGTCAATTAAGTCAGTTGTGAACTTTGATATTGCAAAAGACATGGACATGCACGTCCATCGAATTGGTAGAACAGGTCGTGCTGGTGATAAAGATGGGACTGCATACACTCTTATAACTCAGAAAGAGGCACGGTTTGCTGGTGAATTGGTTAATAGCTTGGTTGCTGCTGGTCAGAATGTCTCCACGGAGCTCATGGACCTTGCAATGAAGGTAATTTCGTAGTACTATTAACATATTGTAATGGCTTATATATTCAGTTTATGCATGCATCCGCCTATGTTAGTTTCTTTTAGTTTTAGAGCTGGTGGCTATAACCAGTTTTGCAATCCTAATAATGCATTATGTTCTGAGTCCAGGTAAATACAAGTTATTAGATATAGACATGTTCTCTTTTAATGCAATATCTAGATAAGTACATCTGCAAGTGTCTGTCTCATAAATAAACTATATTTATGTGCACTCCATTATATAGGTGCATAGGTTGGTCCTGATTAGTAGTGCACTTTGAGATTTGATGAACTGTTTAGTCGTTCAAGACCACATTTTGAAAAGCTTTAGTATGTCGTTGGAATTACAGGGCTGTATGGATCGTTGGTTTAATATTGTCAAGATTACCCGTTGCTGAAAAAGTGCCTAGTTTTGATAGTTAGACGGTTTGTAGTGCTCCCATCTTGACTTGTAAACCAGTTCTACATTACAAAGAGTTCTTGGGGTGTATGCGTGGATTGAAGAATAGAGATTAATTGAAAGCTCAAGCTTAGTCCTATCTAGAGAATATTTTAGGGACTTATTATGTAGTGGGGTGTTAGCGTAGTGCTGTGTTTTATGTTAAAGCGGATTATGCAGGCCCCTTTAAAATAAGAAGCGAGTGTTAACAAATGCAGGAGAGAGTCCTATTTAAGGCTGTACCTCCTAGGCTCGTGTAGAAACTAGCCGTTAGTATATTATCACATATTATTAGACATTAATGCACCAGTTATCATATGGTTCCACATGCACTAATATTACGTAGTTTTACATTTCAAGAGCCATTGATGCAGAATGTCCTCAGTTCTGGCCGTAGGATTTTAATGTTTGTTTTCTACCTGTCCTGTAGCTGTGTTTCGTATCTGTCGTACACTACAATACTATTCATGCTGTTTGTTTGTTTGTTTTTTTTGTGTGTGTGAGTAATATCAGTTTCTATCTCCGATGTGTATGTGCATCTCTATGTTTTATTGAGGGTGGCATTGTCTCCTGTGTGGAACTTCTGATACTCTCCCTTACTATGTTTCTTGTATTATCGTAGATGTTAGTATGAGATCTTACATGCTCTATTTTAATGGGATTTACCCTGTAATTTATCAGGATGGCAGATTCAGGTCTAAACGTGATTCAAGAAAAGGAGGTATAAATTTTGATCATATTATAGCTGCTATTTCTTTAGATGCTTTTGCAAGATAAGGATACTCACTTTTACTGGGTTCTTGTAGGGGGCCCATTACATATTATATTAGCCTTTTCTATCATTTCAAATGATTATAGTGTATGGGTTCTGCAGGTGGAAAGAAGGGTAGAGGGAGGGGCGGTGGTGGTGGTGGCGGAGGCGGCGGCAGCGGCGGCGGTCGAGGTGTGCGTGGGGTGGATTATGGTCTGGGTATTGGATATAATTCGGAATCCAATAATTCTTCATCTCATACTCCTACTAGTCGATCTGCTGCAGTAACTTCTCTGAGGACAGGAATGATGTCTCAGTTCAAGACCAAGTTTGTTGCTGCTGCATCAAACTCTCCAAGTCAGGGTTCAGGTAACAGCTCTAGTGTTCCCCAGAGACCAGCATTAAGAGGATTTGTATCGGGTGGCTCCATTGGTGGGGACATATATAGAACTCCGGCAACGAATACAGTTACTCCTGCTCCTACATCAGTCGTAAACATATCTTCTCAGAACTCTGGAGAAAATGCAAGTCAGAAGCCTTCTGAAAGGTTAATACGATGTTCTGGTTTACACTTCAGTTAGAGTTGTCCATGTTTGCACGTATTTAATTGTGGTGCTGATCAGGTTCATTTGTTGTCTCTATTGCAGTTCTAGAGATAAACCTAGAGAACGTCGGAGGCGCTCTGGTTGGGACTGTTAGTCATACAGTTGAAGAACACCACTCTCACATAAATGAGAACTCTTGTTTTTGTTGTAGATCAAGTCCTGATATGCCTGTATTATGTTGATCTTGGTAAGTTCTATTTTTATTTTTTATTTTTGGTTACTAAAGGTGTATGCTTGTACTTTTTACTTCACTCAGAAATTGGCTTCTGCAGCTAGATCAATCAATTTAGTCAATTTCTCATTGTGTTTTTAAGTTAAAAAAGATAATTTAGTGAACTGGATTGACTTGCTGCACAAATAGTGGATGATCTTTTATGCATGTACCACTTATGGTAAAATAGTTTGACAGATTCTTTTGTGTGTGCCCCATTCTTTTATTTCATGTGTATTGGTTTGCAGCAAACCTTGCTTTGTATTGGACTGTACATCCACTTCTTGATTTCAAATAAAATGGCCTCAATTAGACTCTCTGCAAGACTAGTCATGCCTCTATTTCTTTTTCATGCTGTTGCAGATCAAGGAAATTACTTGTCCCAAAATTAAATGTTAAAAAAGGAAAGGAAAGAGTGCTGCAGATGAAGTGCTTTATACAAACGGTATCTCATGTGTGCCCAATGTTCTATTTTTTTTTTAAATTTTTAAATAGAGAGGTTGTTGAGTAGGAAGATGCAGAGTACATATGATTTGTTTTTCTGTACAACCCTAATGTTAGCAATTTAGTTGTTTTGTAAATTAATTTGCTTATCTATATATATATATATTTTTTTTTTTCAGAATTCATGTTTATATACAAGTTGGTTATCCCAAAATAGAAATACTAAAATTAGCAAATTGGTTTTAAACCATAAACTTTAAATGGTTTAAAACCTCGAATGAATTTAAGCCTTCAATTACTAACGGTTTATCTGTATTTGTTTAAGGACACAAATCACGACTGGTTGTAACATTATAATCATTTTTGAAAAGATCCTCATGAGTTTGTATGAGTAGAGTGAAACTTTCATGCAATGGGGATACCACTTTTTGCTATCTCCGGTCAATAGCGCAATGACACGCAAACTTTTCTCCGTGTTATTGCATTATTGGCCAGTGGTAACAAAACAATGTTATTCCGGTTGCAAGAAAAATTTTCTGGTACTAGTAATTTTCAAGATTAGTGTTAAAATAAAAATAGTTACTCGTCAGCTTAACATCATTAGCGTCATATATGTGAATGAAAATGGTTTGACAAAAAAATGTAAACAAGAGATGCCCTAAATCTGGTACATAAACTTCTCTGTCATTTGGTCAAAAACACATCAGGAAAGTCCCACAAACGCAATTTGAGAATTCACAAAAACCAATTAATTCTCATTGAACAAATATAATTACAAAAAAATAGAAAACATACGTCCTATTTTCTTGTTTGATTACAATCTTCTAGTATCAATTAGGAGTGGGCACGGTACGGTATGGTACAGTATTGAGCCCGTACCGCTACCAATACCGGAAATTTAAATCGGTATGGTACGGTATGAGATTATCGTTTGTCAAAATTGGTACCGTACCATACCGTACCGTGTCGGTATCGGTACGGTATCGGTACCATTTCGGTACAAAAATGACACAACTAAAAAATGAAACAATTCAATATTCAACATATTCATTTACCAAAATAAGTGATGCCTAAGTTAAAAAACGCTCTGTGCGGCTGCTCATGTGTTCTAGATCTAGGGTTTCTTTGTTTAATAGTTTATGGGCTTATGTTATTTATTTGGTTTTGTATCTTTGGGCCTTTATTTGTTGGTGTTGGGCTGCCTTTTGAATTGAGTTTTCTCAATTTGTAATGTTTCCCACTATTAATGAATATAGCTCCTTGACCAAAAAAAAAAAAGAAAAAAAAAGTTACAAATTCAAAGATTCAACATATTCAATTATCAATATCCAAATCCTAATCAACATATTCAATATCCAAATCAACCAAATCCTAATCAACATATGCAATATCCATCAACATATTCAATAGAAAATTATATATCTGAATAGTATTCGGTACGGTACGGTATTGATCGGTACCAAATACTTGATACCGCTACTATACCATACTCTATTGGTACGGTACGGTACGGTACGGTACCGAATATTAATCGGTACCGAATGAAACGGTATGAAATCGGTATGGTACGGTTTGGTTAGGGTATGGTTTCGGTATTTCGGTTTTAGATGCCCACCCCTAGTATCAATATACGACACAGGATAAAAATGTTCCTTGGCCTAGAAGAAGTTGTTACCAAAGAAAGGAAATTTTGACATGAGAGATCTTTTTGCAAGCCTATTTTCAATTGGCTATGGTTATTTACAGCAGCAGACTTTTAGATACAAGAAAGGAGCTGCACAACTATCCAGTTATGTCCATAAGAGACATCCTTTCAAATCTAGTAGTATGATATATATGTATCTCCAGTTGCAAATGAATGCTGCAGTGTTCATGCCTTGGGGCATTGCTGTACATTAATGTTTCTGGTGAATTCTCTGCGTCGTGTGGCGTTAGGGCAGATGTCCAAGCACGGCTCCTTGAGAGTAGCATCATCTTCAGGAAGCGGAGGGAGAATCCCAAATTTAAACTGCTATATTGGGAGTTCAATAGAGAGTTAAATGCTGGAGAATCAATATGTTGAAATGATGAGTGTGTAGAGAGAGGTATTGGGTTAACCTGGCAGCTATAGTCGCTGAAGTTTGGCTCCATCACTAAAGGAACACCCATGTAATCTTTCATGAAGGCCTAGAGCAACCATCTTTATGCAATTAGAATCACCTCCTCTACATAACCAAAACCGTTTTTCTTCTTTCGGCTAGCGTTTGACAGAAAACTTTAAAATAGAATTACTGACCTGAGTAGGAAGCTTACAAGTATTCACACAAATTCCGACACATTTGCTTTGCTCCAAGTACTTGCATTTCTCTACAAACACCTAAACCCTCCCATCCCATAACCATTCATTATCTGAGGAGCTTAGCTTAAAACATAAGAAAAAAAGAAGAAATACATATTGGATATCATAGGTGACCAGACTGGCCGCCACTCACCCCACTATTCCACGAGGTGCCGTCTGGCAAGTCGACAGAATTAACAGTACAGGGTCCCATGAGCCATTCACAAGTAATTGCAGTCACCCTTGCTTCAGTTCAAAACATATCACATATACATATATATATATGCAAGGATAAATAATAATAATAATAATAATATATGAAATGAGTGAGGAATAGGAAATACAGACCAACCATGATGGCAGCTACTTTTCCGCCTTGTATGGGTGCTATTAGCAATTTATAAAGTTGTAGCAGCATTGGTGGAAACAGGGATCTCAGTATTCTCACCTGCCAATTAAGCACAACAAACCATACAACAACACTCACTAATGGCCACCATCATCATCATCTACTAAATGTACTAAGAAAACAAATCACACTCTGACACGCGTGAAAAATTCATACAATTTTTCTTTTTTGTGTTTTTATTGAGCCAATTCACTACACATGTCACTTATATTTGCAGCTGAAAAGAAAGGAGATTGCTTGCTTTGAAGGAGACATTTCGCAAATCACAAATTGGCACATATGTAAAATTAATTCATATATAACACAACTTTTTACACATATATCAAACTGTCATCGGCAGAAAAATAGAAGTTCTTATTTACGTATTCGAGATAATATGTAAATAAGTCCTGAAAAAAGAGAGTAGAGTAGTGAGTGAGTACCGCAGCTTCTTTAGTGTGAGAATTGGTTGGACTTTTGAGCATAAGCCGGTTTGCAACTTCAATGAGTCCATCATATCCGGGTTTTCCGGAATCCCATCCAACTTCCTCCACCATTTTCTTCCTAAACAAATTCAGAAACACTTCATCCATCACTCCACCCTTCTTCTCTTGCTTCGCCTGTATTTCTGACTGAGGCTCTTTTATCTGCATAATAATTAATTAATAAAACATAAAAAATTAGAATTTCCAAAACAAAAACAAGAAATCCCACCAAAGAGGACGAGACCCGAAAGCGTTGGCTTCGGAGATTCTGAGATTTGGGTAAGGACTGCGGAGGCAATGAGCAAATGCTTCGGGGACGAACAGCAGCCAAAGCCTTCATTTTCCGGAGATGAAATTCCAAAAGCTTGGAACTTGGGACTTGTCTCTCAGTAATCAATCAGGGCCGGGTCTGGGCCTCAACCCATGACCCGGCTCGTTTAAATAAGAAAGATGGCAACGCAAAACGCAGCGTCTTGAATCCACCCAATTTGAAGCAAGGTTTAAAATTAAATCCTAACAGAAATACCGATTTGTTAAACCCTACCAAAACCCTTGGCTTTGAGGCAGAGAGAATTTACTCTGACGAAAATGAATTCTAGCCGCTCGATATCCGCCGGCACTTGGCTGGTGAGGAAGCTTTGCACGGCGGTTGAGGCTGCGACGGAGTCGGCGCGGAGTCAGCCTGGAAATCCCAATAGGCTGTACCGGAGGCTATCGGCTTTGGGAGCCACCGGAGGCAGCGTGGCAAAGACGTTAAATCAGTACATTATGGAGGGCAGAATGTTGAAGAAGTACGAGCTCGAGAGATGCATCAAGGAGCTCCGCAAGTACCGCAAGTTCCAGCATGCCTTAGAGGTTAGGCCTATTTCCGCTTCTATCCTTCTCCTTCTTATTTGCTTAATTTTCATCTTAAATTCAAAATTACTGACAAATTTTGGTGCTATTTTATGGAGTTTTAGGTGTTTCAATTCCAATCGATCTTATTTTGAATTCCATTGCTCATTGCTTATTGCTTGGTTAATAGATTTCAAGGTAGTGACTAGTAGTTTGTTTTCTTGTTATTTGGTTTTTATTAGTGCAGATAATGGAATGGATGGAGTTTAGGAAAATGAATTACTCGAGAGCTGACTTTGCCATACGTTTGGATCTTACGTCCAAAGTGAAAGGGATAGAGGCAGCTGAGGATTACTTCAGCGGCCTATCCCCGTCTTTAAAGGATCGATTTACTTACGGAGCCCTTTTGAACTGTTATTGCAAGGAACTGATGGAAGAAAAGGCATTGGCTCTTTATGAGACGATGGATGAGTTGGAGTTTGCTTCCTCTTCTTTGGTCTTTAACAATCTCATGTCTATGCATATGAGAAAGCAGCAACCAGAGAAAGTGGCTCCTTTAGTGCAAGAAATGAAGCAGAGGAACATCCCTCTGGACACATTTACGTATAACATCTGGATGCAGAGCTTTGCGTCTTTAAACGATTTTGAAGGAGTAGAAAGAGTCCTGGACGAGATGCGAAAACAAGATGGAAACCAATGCAGTTGGTCAACGTATAGTAACCTGGCTGCGATTTATGTAAAGGCTAAGATTTTTGACAAGGCTGAGCTAGCCCTTAAAAAGTCGGAGGAAATGATGAAACCCCTGAAGCAGCGCCATACATACCATTTCTTGATTAGCCTCTATGGCTGCACTTCTAATCTAGGTGAGGTCAAAAGGGTATGGGAATCGCTCAAGGAAGCTTTCCCAGCAACCAACAATATGAGCTATCTTCTCATGCTTCAGGCCCTCTGTAAGCTAAACGATATTGAGGGCTTGAAAGAATGTTTTGAGGAATGGGAGTGCAAATGCTCCAGTTATGATATGCGACTGGCAAATACTGCTATACGTGGTTACCTCAGTCAGGACATGTATGAAGAAGCAGCATTGGTCTTTGCAGATGCCTGTAAGAGGACTAAAGGGCCTTTCTTTAAGGCTCGGGAAATGTTCATGGTTTACTTCTTGAAAAACTGTCAGGTGGATTTGGCTGTTAGCTATTTGGGAGCGGCTGTTTCAGAATCCGTGGATGAGGAATGGCGTCCATCCCCAGATACCACAAGTACATTTTTTAAGTATTTTGAAGAAAAGAAAGATGTTGAAAGTGCTGAGAACTTTTGCAAGATTCTGAAGCGTCTAAATTGCCTCAGTTCCAATGAGTATTATTTGTTGCTTAAGACTTACATAGCTGCCGGAAAATTGGATCCTGAGATGCGTCAAAGATTGAAGGAAGAAGATATTGAAATAAGCCCCGAGCTTGAGAGTTTGCTTGAAAGGGTTTCCCCTGAGTAGATTAACTGCATTGAACAGGCCCCTATGATTTTAACGCATTTTCACTTCTTTAAATTATACATTGGAATCTTTAACTTTAGTGTTCTTTAAGAGTGCATATACCTTATGATTGCATAAGTTGGGGCACCTAGGTTGGGACAACGTCTTTTCTTTGATGCGGCTACTGTCGTATCAATATGCAAGTATGCAGGTATGCATATTTTTCTTCGATAGGCATGCTTTTGCTTTTAACTCTAAGCATGACAATCGATGTTTCCAATGCCACATTTGCAGTACATTTTGCATGTACAGATATATTCAGCTTTTGTTAGAGATGAAGTCTCTTCTCCTTTTATCCCTCTACCCTTGTGCATGTGCATGAAGTTTGAGTATGCTGATATCATTGTCTGAATTTAATCTTACCTGTGTGGTTGTGTGACCTATATTGAAGTCATGGTACTTAATTGATCAACTTTTATTTGTTTCGCGGTAACAAGTTCTGTTTTAATTGGACTTTTGTAGGCTGTAAGGATCCCTGGATCTGTTGCTGCATCTCACCCCTTGAGGGAGCTGTATTTGTCGACTATTATTATTTGTAAAATGTATTATCATAATTACTTCGTTCCTTAATGATTTCAGATTCTTTGTTTTAAATTTTATGTAATGCAATTATTTGTTGAGGTGTAAATTCCTGGTAGAACCGACTTTCGAGGATAGATTTGCTTTTGCAAAGAGTTTCAATTTCAACCTTTTATAAGGTCCTATTTAAAAAAAGAATTATTGGTATACATGATGCTACCTTTAGATGGTGTAACAAAATCTTTCGAGTTTTGTTTTGGTCTGAATTGTATTGTCCAAAACAATTGTGATGAAAATTGTAGAAAACCCAGAATGAAAAATACCATAATCTGTGGAAAGATAATGCCAAATTTTTTTTTTTTTGGAAACTAAATCACAACTTTTTGAGTTGGTTAGATTTTAAATAAAAAAAGGGCATTTGATAAGCATATCGGAGATTGCTGATACTTCAGAAAACAAAAAATCTATGCTCTCTCTCCACAGTTTGCAGCAGTTCACATGAATTCCACGTCTTCTTCTTGATGTTCCAGAACAATGGTGGCAAGAGCAAGTCTATATGCTGAAGATCTCAAATTCCTGACAAGGACATAAATTTCCTTCCGTCTTTGCTTTGCTGGCTTCAAATCCCATTGTTCCTCTCGAAGACGATTAAGTACAACTGCCTCACAAAAAGCTTCTGCTACCGGCTTCTTGCTGCATATAAAATTCAATGCGACATAGTCAAGACAAAAAAATAAATGTATAGAACAATAGAAACAAAAGCTGGGAGTTGTGATGTAGCAGGACTGTAAACTAACCTCCCTCGAACAAAACCAGTGGTGACAAAGCCTATTGGCCAACGATGAGATTCTCTACCAACAGTGTCCTCTGGTATTTGGAGTTCCCACTTACCAGAAGATTGCTCTTTGAAGTACGATGTCACAGCTGTTTGATGCATTTGAAGTCCTCCATCGAAACTCTCTGACCTGCAAGACACACACGTTGCTTTATTATTTTATTTATTTATATTTAAAAGGCTTTAAATTATTGGTCTGCAGCATGGATATTACTATGAAATACAGATAAATATCTTTCAAAAATAGCTCAAAACTTACAAGCCACTCCCAAGATTATAATTATCAATGGTCGCATTTAAATTTCAGTAAACTTTCAACAAGGCAAGTTCTGATGGTAATGAGGCATAACCTAACATAAGTCAATATATCTCTCAAGCTATACTGCCTTTATCATGGTCCAGGCACATTAGAGCAGACACATTCAATCAACTTATCAACCACCAGCACATCAAGACACCTCTACTGGAAAATAAAAGACGGAGGAAATTACAAGCGCCGCCAAGTGCAAATATAACCATAAGAAGCAAATAGGATATCAATGTAAGGAATAAATCACAAAATTTCAGAATAAAAAGTCCAAAGCAAAAAGGACTACCTCTTCCACATTGATATGTCAGTCAGTTGAGGTGCACAAACGACTGCTCCCTCTTCAAGAAAACCTTCCTTGTAAGCATGGAGTAATACCCTAACAAAACATAATTTACGATTGTTCTTCAATTTGTTAATCCCATTTTGGGCCAGCCCAAGCTTGCTTTCATCCCTCATAAACTTAGTGAAACTTGTCTGCTTATCCGCCACATGAGGACATAGACGTAAATGACAGCCTTGAATTTCATTCAAGAATTTTGTCAGTGAAACAGACGTCCGTGCTACAGAACCATCAAATGAATTACCATGACAGGCAGCTAATGTAGGATCAGAAAGTCCACGGTCTGAGTTAGATGATGAATTGCTTCTGACGCCATTTTCCTGCCTAAAAATTTCATCTTCTCCAACGGTAGTGGATCCTTCGTTTAAAGCAGCTCTGATAGTGTTCCATGGGGGTAGAATGGGAACCCTCAAAGGCCTTATAGCTGGAGGACGAAGTTCCTCTTTAAGGCTAGAGGCAACAGCTTCAGTTTCCTTGAGGCATAAATATGCATTGCAATCAGGAAAATCCGAAGGAAAATATGGCAACCCCACCTGCAAAATAGAGGAGACTTACATGTGGCATTTGACAACCTGATATTAAATATTATAGATACGAAGTTCACATGCTTACTTCACTTGAAATCAAGTGCTTCTCTCTCAAACCCATTGCATGAGCCCCCTTTGAGACAAGAGAAATCCAAAATGCCCTGACCCAGCTTAAGGGGAGGACAACAGACCATCTGTAAGGCAATAAGAGATTGAATTCTAAGGTAACTATATAAATAGATCAAAGTCAATAGAAAAAATTGATGAACTGATGCCATTTTAAGGCAGGTCAGAAAAATTGATTGTCACATTCTGCTACCCATAAAATTCAGAATTTCAAATATGAGTTATCAATTATTGCACAAAGAGCCAACAGTAAACATTCAACTCATGATTTTCATGCTTCAGATAAGAAATAGATATGGACCTTGTTAAAAAACCTGAATCACAAAAAAGCATGAGACTCTACAGCTTTTTTTCTTACGAGAAACATAATATATTAACAAGTGGAAAAATACAAACATACAATTCAAAGGACATTGTGTCCACCGAAACCCAAACATAAGAGCTAGCATTAATACAAGAACATAACATTATGCAGCAATTAATTTAACCCACATAACGCTAAATGAAGAATAAGCGAGGAGAAAAGGAGTTTACCCAATATTCAAGCCCCTTCCATTATTATTTTTCAACAGCACAATAGGGCAAGATCTTGAGCATGGAGACTTGGTTGAAGTATTTAGTGCCCCTGAACTCGAATCATCGAGGCAGAGGAAATTCTTATGCTGGTCATGTTTTTCCTTGCAAATAACCTCCTCTTCCACTGGAGGACTTACTCCACTGCTAATGTCCCACAAACTTTTTTCTCCAAGCATGCCACTACCTTCAGGCTCGTCTGAAAATCTTCCAAAGGCAACATGCTCTTTGCGTTCAGTTCCTAGAACATCACCTAGTATACTAGAAGAGCCTGATTCTGGAGCATATGCAATCTTTTCCTTCTCTGTTAATGTGCGAGGATCCTTGACATTAAGAGACAAGATTGCATGAGAAGGAATGCTGTCCTCTTTTTCAAGTATAATCTTAGCTTGGGAATCATCTTTGGCCTCAGAAACTGAATGTTTCATCAAATTCCAAGAATCATCTCTAGTCCTGTTCAGTCAGAGAACACCTTTAGCCATCTTTAACCTCATTATTTGGTTAAATGAATCAAATTCTTTCCGTAACTCACCTTGTAGTAGGGCATAATGTCCTTTGAAGGAGTTGAAATGCTTTTAATCCCACTACTTCTAATTTCGCAAGTTGACCCTCAAGTGAGAAACAGTTAATCAAGATACCCCTGTTATCCATCTGAGATAAAAATGCATGGAGTTAATAACAGCAAATAATATATCGAGAACATGCGGTAAGCATCTAACAGTAATGAGTTTTCTATTCTGAAATGAAATCTACCAACTCTAGACTAGAGGCGAATCTTTTGCAACAAAGCACTGAACATAAACCACTTGAATGGCATTTGAAAATAATGTTGGCTTATCATGAATATCATATAGAGAGCAAGAAAGTAGACAAAAGTTTTCTTATTGCAACAAATCATTATTCGCTCACAAATTAAATGCCAAACCAGTACCACTACAGTCTATTGTAAGATTTGTAATAGTTAAAACAAGAGAAGATAAAAAAACAAAAACTTAGTTAGACGCAGACTCCAGATGCTTCCAAAGAGAAGTCAGATGAGATTCAGCGTTTGTACCTCTTTCTGGCAAGCTAATTTCAGAGTATCATAGGCTTCAGTGAGAACAGAAGCATGTATCCACACCCAAAGCTGGCGAAAGGTAGAAGAGTTCTCTGTACCCTCTAGTCCATTACATCCATCGCTTGGTTGGCCAGAATGCCGCCACATATAAGTCACAGGAGCAACTGGGGTTGACAAAGGTGCTCCCAAATGATGAAGCTGCAAAAAAGGGGTCAGAAAATTAATATCTTAAGTCATCTACGCTTACAAGAAAAATACAACTGGATAACTTACCATAGCACTGTCATATATGATACCAGAAATAACAGAACAAGCTGATGAAGAAGAAGGCACCATCACCATTTCTAACACTGATAGTAATGAATCCTGGATGCATATGAAATAAGATAAGATGAAAATGTAGTAAGGAAAAAGAACATATTGCAACACTTTTTCATTCTTTGGAAGAAAAACAGAAAAAAAGGGGAAAAAGAGGAGAGAAATAAATTTATAAGATAGAAAGTAAAGTAAATGCCTGCCTCCGGACCCTCCAATTGGATAGCTACATGATAGCTTGCATCATGCACAAGCATTCCATCCTTGAACCACTTCAGGACAGCTTTGGACCCCCGTCCTCTACATTAAGGACATTCATTTTATGAATAAATATAACAATAATTCAACAAAAAAAGTAAATGTACAAGTAAATTGGTAATGCATTACCTGCCCTGCAAACCCAGGGGAAGGTAATAACCCCAAAGTTTTGTCATTGTGAACCTCTTCGCATGCCAAATATGTGTTCTAAGCCTCTTCGTGCCATCCCCTGATGTGCAGAAACCGTTTTCAAGGTTCATTTTAAGCTCAGTTCTCCGACGAATGCGACGAGGAACATTCTTTTCGTCTTTCTCTGGAGGCAAAGCATTGCTGCTCTGATCAACAAGTTCAAGTTTCCGCTTCTTTCTGCATCTTTTTTTAGCTGCTTGATTGTCGTACGCGGTGGTTCTTCTTCTCTTGCTTCTCCGAGACCGGAAATCATTGTTCACTCTATCAGATACAATTGTATGGAGCGTCTCAAGCTCCGGAGCTCGTGATTCCGCAAATTTTTGGACATTAATTTTTCGAGGTGGAGCTGAAGAAACCTGTAGCCGTCTGAATCCGTCGGTAGCCATTAGACAGAATTATTAAACCCCCGAGGGAGAGAGAGGGAAATTACTTGCTGCGACGTTGGGGTTGCGGCGGGTTTGGGAGGGGCTGCTGGGTTTTTAATTTTTTGAAAAGTTATTTTAATAAAGTTTGGAGTTTTTAATTTTTCAATAAAAAGAGGGCTA